AGGTTAATAAAGAATATCTGTTTCAGTAACGAATGCACTTTTTACTTAAATGGCAAGGTCAACAAACAAAAATGTCGTTATTGGAGCGACATCAATTCTCACATTATTAGAGAGGGCATACGCAATACCCTCAAAAAATAAATGTCTAGGAGGGTATATTAGGCAATAGTATCATCGGTCCTCTCTTCATTAATGAAGATCTAAATGGTCAAATTTATGCAGAAATGTTAGATACAGCTATAGAACCTCTTATAATTCGTGAGGTGGTTAGGTTTGGTAAAATTCTATAAGAAAGACAAAAATGGTAAAAGAAATAGGGGTTGCTTTTTAAAATTTTAGGGGTAGGTGCCCTGGGGGTCAAGGGGTTGAAAGTAACACGACAACAAATGCCTCAAAAATTGTCCCCCTTGATATGTAAATTGATGTGTTTCGCCAAATTTTCATACTATCATCGGTAGAGACAATATTAAATACTGTTCGTTTTCAGATTGTCACCCCCTATATATTTTTTAATTTAAATTAAGGAATGATCTATGTATTTAATCTAAAAGAAATAATGCAAAATAAATTTAACAAATATATAGGGTGAGTCTTAAATAAGTGCAAATACTTTCAGGGCTGGCAGAACTCGATGAAAGAAACATGCTTTGTCTTTTCTTCTGTTTTTCAAATAAGTACAAAATAACTGAGTTAGTTTACTTTGAAATTTAAAAAAATATATATTTTTTGTTTAAATTTTCAGAACCAACAACTGGATCTTTTCTGATTTTTTTTCTATATTTTGTAACATAGATTGGAGGGAAAATCTCAAATAGATAACTTGATATAGAGCTTTATGCATGCATACACTCGATTATCTGTATACAGAGTCCGACAATAGTGTGTCGAGCATCTGTAGCTCCTTTAATAAAAAAGTGTTAAAATTTTTGAAATACTCTAAATACAAAAATATTAACTTTTTAATTCTCCATCTAACAAAGAATTATTATACAGGGTGTTCTATTTAAAAAATCGAAGAAAGAGTATTTTATATTTCAGAGAGTTTGAGGTAGAATTTTGAATACGTAGAATTTTGATTTAAGATTACGATATTTATAGCAAAGTTAAGTACAGACTGTCTAAAGAAAATACCCAAAATAGTTTTGGTTTCAGGACAGTTCTTGTATTTGTAATAATTTTTTTAATAAAGGCTGAGAAATATATATTTTTAATTAATTTATTAATAATCTCTGAAACTATCGAAATCTATTTACTCATATCTTAGGATTATGTAAAGTGATCTAAAACGAAGCCAAAATGCAATTATATACAGGGTGTTCCAATTAAAAAAAAGCATCCCGATCCACTCACTTTTTTGAGCCCCACTATATAGCAGTTAAAATATTTTTCTCAAATACATACTAGCATAGTATAAGGAAACTAGTAGTTTTACTCCTTGTCAAATCCTTTGTTCTTTTTCTGCCACTTTATATGACCTTGTTCTCGCCTCCCGTGACCACTGACGTAGCTGTATAGTCGTGGTCTATTAACTAGGAAAAGTATAGTCGTGGTACTCGCCATAGTTTCACAGATATGTATTTAGGAAAATATGAGTTCACAATAAAATAAAATAAAAAAAATTGATCATCGAGTAAAAACTTGCTTGAAAACAGAATATTTTCACATTTCATGTAGGTAACAATTCTTCTGTATCTGAAAATCTTCTGATGGGAAGAAATGCGAAAAATATATAATGACATATTTTTATACTATTATCTATTTCAGAGATTTTCTACAACCTTTTTTGATTTAAAACAAGTTTAATTTTCTGTAGATAACTGAATTCGGCATAAAATTCTGCATATAGTACACTGTCTTTATTTAAAGCACACTGCGGTGTTGCCATTCTATTTCTTATTTACTAAAACTTTGGTTAAAAACATTATATACGAAAAGTGGTAAAAAACTAGAGTGAATATAACTTTGTTAATACTTAGCTATGTTTTCTTAAACATGAAGGACACCAGAATAAATTCGTGTAGAAAAGTTTACTTTATCGTATACAGAATATTTTTTATGGCGTCACCAAAATCGTAATATTTAATGCAACACCTTGTATATTATTCTCCTTTCAGATGTAGGATTAAAAGGTGAGCATTTTTTATATTTAAAGTGGTCTTAAATTTTTAGTCGTTTTGCAAATATTTTCTGTATTTAATTACATATGGGATTTTCAACGATAAAATATCAGACAAAGATCATCAGTGGCTTAGATAAAAATTTACTGTTGAAAGAGCCATATGTAATATAATCTGCGAAACCGTTAAACATTTAGAAACACTTTAAATAAAAAAATGTTCACTTTTCAATTCTGAATTTGACAGAAAAATAATATACAGAATGTTGCATTTAAAAAAATTGAGATATACCATTTTAAATATTCCGATTTTGGTAACGCCATAAAAAATACCCTATATAGAATAATGTATATAGAATGATGTAAAATAATTAAAAAAAATAAAACTCACTTTACCATAACTTTTTTTGTGACACCCTGTATATAACAAAATATTTTAGAATACGCCCGTTTATAAACGTTGAAACATATGAATAAAACTTTTTTCACATCTTCGACAACGACGACGATATTGGACTTCCTCGCACTAATGGGCCACTCTGTATATTTACGGTGGTTTAAAGCTAGGTGTGGCACTTTTCTTTCCTCAAATATAAACTCAATATTTTGTCAATAATATTTTGAATATTGTTATATTACGACCACTTATAATAAAAAATAAATAAAAAGAACATAAAAAAATACAGTCCACTAAATTTATAAGAGATTATGCTATTATAAAATTCTTTCAATTAAAAAAATATAAATAATTTGCGGAGACTTTAGATGTACAAAATATTTACTCTAAAATTGTTTCAAAAACCAATATATCTAAATTATCTCGTAAATTATTATTGAAATGAAAATTTTATGGCAATTCCCCTGACCAAAAAATATTTTCATGCGCATATTTGAGACAACCTGTATATCTAAAAAACTATTTTTAAAATCTGCCCACAGCTTCTAAAAAACAAATATAATTAAATGTTTGTTAATAATTACTATCAGCTTGCCGATTTACATCCGATGGAAATCTAAAAAACTCAAAGAACAATTTTTTTAATTATTACTACAATTAAAAGCAGCACACAGTAAAGCACTCATTTTTTGTCAATTCGTCTCTGTGCTGGGACACAACATTCAAACCTCGCAGCTCGACGGACGGTTCAACTGAAACGCTTTGCAATCTGCCGATATTCGACAGATTGCAAAAACTGGCAGAAAATATTTGCGAGAGTGCAACTACTCTTTTCCTTAAACTATGATACTAGTATATGCTTTAGGCACAGTTTAAAGAATATAATTATTATATATATATATTTTATATTCTTTAAACTGTGCTTTAGGCTTGCACTTAAACAATATTCCCAAGTTTTTTATTCTAGGAGCTGCAGATGCCTGACGCGCTATTGCCGGACCCTGTATATTTTATCAAGTAGGTTTAAATATGAAAGTATCGATACTGTGAAAGATTGAAAATCATTTAAAAATCAGAAATGCCTAATTAAACGTACTGTTCAATATATTTGATATATTTTTTGATAACTGTCTATAAGCACAATTATGATGTATATGAATTTTTATATTATACTATATAAATAAATGTACTTGCATCGCAAAACAATTCATGTAAACAGATAAAACAAACTGCTAATAATTACAAAGCAATGATTGATTGTTATAATAGGAAAATGTTTACGAAAACAATAATAGTGAGAGTGAATGTAATATTTTTCTTGAAATAATCTAATACCATATAAAAAATAATTCAATCAATAACTATGGCACAAATTTTCCAAGTGCAACAATCCACAGATTTAAAAGTTAATTCTGAGATATTGTTTATTTATTTCGGTTTAATAATACCGCGTTTGTTTTATCGGTATTAGTAAAATAGTGATACAGAATCCTATGACAAACAAAACTAATGACAAATAATCGATGACAATATTTTAAAGTCAAAGTTTTTTTTTGAGAATAGAAGATTATTCTATTGTTGTACTTCCTAGATCATATTATATACTTTTCTACTTACATTTCACATGAAACAGTATTTTTTTTTATTTCCTGTGGAAAAACATAAGCAGTTTTTTTATACGCTGTACTTAAACTACCGTTAAACGGTAGCCTACTGAAATGCCGTTAATAGATATGACGTCGTTGATGTGACGCACTTGACGGCTTTTTAATGCTTTGGTTAAAATGCCGTCGAACGGTCGCGTGCTAAAATGCCGTGTTCCGTTTTCCGTTGCCCTTTTGGTATGTTTTTTTCGTCGCGTTTGCATTATTGTTGTAGTAACAATTTGTGCTATAAGTTGATTTTAATTAAGGTGTACATCTGGATATTATCGGTTCAGGATGGAGTAAGTGTTTCGGTTAGTTTTCTGATTGTTAATTTATCTATAAACATTTTTAGGTTAGTTAGGTACCTAATTATTTTTCATGACTGAAATTAGCATGCTGAAAATTGGGGATAGGTTCAGCTCATTCGCTGACGCAAAGAAAGCGATTGAGGAACTTGGTGAAAATACGTACACAACATTTTGGAAACGAGATGCCCGTACGATTGCAAGCAGTAAAATTGTGAGACCAATAGAAAACTCTTTGATTTATTATCAACTTCTATATGCATGTAATCACGGTGGAAAGAAGTTTAAGGGCGGTGGGAAAAAAAATCGACAGTCTTGGACATTTAAAGAAGATTGCTCAGTACATGTAAAATTCAAAGCATCGTCTGATGGAAAAGCACTCGAGGTAACATCGGTTCAAATGAAGCACAATCATGTCACTTTGAAGGTAAGTTTACAGATTAGTTGACATATAGTATGCTTTTAGAATTCGTGCTTGAACAGCATTTTATTCATAAAAGATATATTTTGTAGGTTCTACATGCACATAGCCCTAGCCAAAGAAAACTTTCCAGTAACATGAAGGAAAGCGTCAAGGATTATTTGAATATGAAGGCCAATAGAAAAATGATACAGCAAAAAGTTCAAGAAAGTATTGGTAAAATTGTTACTTTACAAGATTTAACAAATATGAAGATATCCGATCAATCAAGAAAAGAAAACTTAGATGGCTGCTTAAATATACTTAAAGCTAAATACGGTAAACTAAAATATTCTATTATCGTCTTATGAGTCCCCATAACTACTCTGTTTTCAGGTGCCAATGTAGCTGTTTTGCGAGACGAAGACAATAATTTCAGAGGACTTTTCATTCAAAGTTCAACCATGAAAAGTACAATGAAGGCTTTTCCAGAATTTCTTGCAGTAGATGCTACATATAAATTATTTAAATTAGGATTACCTGTTTTTCTCATAAAGGACGTCCAAAAGGACAGGACTTAACAGTCATAGGACTACCAAAGAAAAAGAAAAGATGTACTGTAGCATTTGCTAAACAATCCTATCATGAAAAATAAAATGTAATCCTGAATTGCTTCGTTAAGGATCGTAACATCGTTAGAGACATCACAAATGGGAAATTTCTTGAAACTGTAGACCTTAAAATGCTCCCCGAAGAAATATCACATGCAATTCTTGATGAGGCTGTTGATATCCACATGATAAGGTAAGTCTAGCGATACCTAATAATTACCAAATTAATAACTAATAATGTAAATTACGATTTTTAGAAGTTTTTGCACCGAGAAAGCCTTTGAAAAAATAACCAATCTAGTTGAGCAGAAACGACTTCAACAAAGTTGGTTTTGTTCTGTGTGCAGTGAAGACACGCAGAAAAATAATATGTCACTTTGTTGCAGTAGATGCCTTCTATGGAGACATATCCGTTGTGCAGGATTGACTAAGCGACGTAAATCAAAACTGTGGTTTTGCAGAGAATGCTATCTGTAGCATTTTATTTTTAAGTTGACGTAGTATTATTTTTAAGTTGTCAGTTCATAATTTGCAATAAAAACCTGAAAACCAATGCCATATATTACATTTTATCGCAAATACATTTTCAAACCTACAACGGCAACATATACGTCTACCTACATATACACCGTTCCAAGTTAATTTTATTCAGAATAAGCCATGACGGATTTTGGACAACATTACATTACAAATTATTAAGTATTAATCAGTACCCTACTCTGCATTAACGATTAACGGCATTCTAGTACGCGACCGTTCGACGGCATTTTAACGAAAGCATTAAAAAGCCGTCAAGTGCGTCACATCAACGACGTCATACCTATTAACGGCATTTCAGTAGGTTACCGTTTAACGGCAGTTTAAGTACAGCCTTCTTTATATTGTAAAGCGACCTCACATTCAACTTGGTTGAACTAACGGTTGGATCAACGAAATTGGATATTGCCTTCACACTTCACTATTTCACAATAAATCTATCTGTAAAAATCAGATGAATTTTGTTTCCCATAAATACACAGAATTAGAATAGCAAAGGACGAATGGCTTAAACGTGAATGTTCAGAAATTATTAATTCATTCCTTACTCATCGATACCCGATGTAACGAGTACCGAATTTAAAACCGTACAGTTACTTTGATTACTATTACTACTTATAGTATTTAGCATTTATCATGGGTCGTACTTATACGTAATATGGTAATACAGGGTGGCCCATCGAAAACGTTCCGCAAGGCATAACGGCCAGGGTATTTGTTTTTTCAAAAAATCCAAAAACACGTCAATTTTGTTTGTGAGGGGGGCAACTTTTGCCCCAAAAATGATTGCAAAATCTTCAAACTTCTAAGCGGGGGTGTTATCCCCCAACTTTTTTCAAATGGGAAGGGGGGTAAAGTGGCGCCGCAATGAAAAAAGCTTTCTATTATCTATATTTCCCCGCTTCGTTTTTGAAATTCGGTCGAGTCAATGAGAAAATATGAAAGATCGAAATTTAAAAAGTTTATTTAAACATTTATCAGAGTAAATGATAAGGATAAATTCCTTCGACCAATTTGCTGTTTTTCTTATTATTTCTAGATGTTTACGCATTATTTTCACTTGCCACAAGGCTGAACGATCAGGTGCGGTAGTTGCTAGATAGCTATTCTGTGACTTGTGGGTTGAAGTTCTTCTCAATATCGTTAAACTGACCTACAATAGAATTTCCAAAAATACCAGCCCACACGTTCAATTTCTGAGGGTTTTGTGTGTGCACCTCGTGAAAAACCCTGGGGTTGTCCTCAGCCCAGTACCGACAGTTGTGCCGATTAACTACACCGTTCAAAAAGAAAGTACACTCATCCAAAAAACACACATTAAATAGGAAATTATTACTACTCGTTCACTCATAGTTTCACAAAATTGCAAGCAACGATCAAAATCGTTTTCGTTGAGTTCTTGTACCAACTGAATTTTGTACGGGTGGAACTTGTGTTTTTTTAATATCCTTTGGACACTTGTACGATTCACGCCGGTCTCATTGGCTAATTTTCTTGTACTCAGCGTACTATCCATGGCAACTTGACCCAATACGAATACCTCCATAGCTTCATTTACTACAGGATTTTCCCTCTGCCTCTTTTTATTCATAACGGAACCAGTTTCGCGAAATTTTGCTAATAACTAGCGAACAATTTTGCCATAAAGGTGTTTGTCAGGATGGCATTCATTGAATATCTGCGCAACCCGATACATTCATTATTTTTAAAATAAAGTTTGACTATTTCCACTTTTTATGCAAGTGAGTACACCATAATTATTAAATAGTTTAAAGATATTGAGAAGAACTTCAACGCACAAGTCACAGAACAGCTATCTAGCAACTACCGCACCTTGTCGTTCAACCTTGTGGCAAGTGAAAAAATACGTAAACATCTAGAAATAATAAGAAAAAGCAGCAAATTGGTCGAAGGAATTTATCCTTACCATTTACTCTGATAAATGTTTAAATAAACTTTTCAAATTTCAATCCTTTATATTTTCTCAATGACTCGACCGATTTTCAAAAACGAAATGGGAAAGTATAGAGAATAGAAAGCCCTTTTCCTTACGGTACCACTTGACCTCCCTTCCCATTTAAAAAAAATTGGGGGATGACACCCCTGCTTAGAGGGTTGAAGATTTTGCAATCATTTTTGGGACAAAAGTTGTCCCCCTTACAAACAAAATTGACGTGTTTTTAAAATTTCAAAAAAAAAATTACCCTCTCTGTTATGCCTTGCGGAACGTTTTCGATGGGCCACCCTGTATATATATTGCATTGTAATGCATTGTAAAAATGATATCAAATGTGAATTCTATGAAAACATAATAGAGTCGTATATCAGTATCTAGGGTATTTGGCAAATACCCTAGATACCATTATACGACTATTATATTTTCATAGAACTCGCATTTGACTACATTTACGATACAATACTATGCATATTAGAAATACGTCTAAGTACGATACGATAAACTAAATGATGACAGCGATTTTCATTTCATAGCCATCGCTTACGCCGTTTTTTTTCGATCATACGGTACTATAAATAGTTAAACTTCTACCCCTATTTTCAGTAGTTTCACCCCCTTAAAGGTTGAATTTCCGAAAATCGCTTCTTAGTATTTAATTATGCCGCTTAAGAGACCTCTGTGTAAAAATTTCATAGTTCTAAGACAGGTTTTAAATTTTTTACACCTACAATATTTACCCCCTAATTTCATTGCCTTAGAGGGCGATTTTACAAAAATTGCTCCTTAGTGCTTAATTATGTCACCCAAGAAGCGTCCGTGAAAAATTTCATACTCGTAGAACAGATTTTAATAACTTTTTATGCAGCATTCTGTCCGTAATTTCAACACCGCGGTCGAATTTTCAAAAATCTTTTCTTAGTGCTCGCATACATCACTTAAGAAATTTGGCAAATACGTTCCTTTAGTGATTAAGTGTGCACTAAAAAAGGATTTTTGGAAATTCAACCTTTAAGGAGGTGAAACTACCAAAATTAGTGGTGGAAGTTTGTAGATTTTTTGAAATTTGTCGTAGGAGTGTGAAATTTTGCGTAGAGATCCCTGAGTCCATTTCACTAGTCCAAAAAAGTAGCAAAATAAGCGTTCGGCATTTAACGTTTTATGTAAAACTGGCTACATAACGTCAACATCCGTCAGCATTTCATCAACAACAAGAACCTGTCGAAGACTTCATTGATCTCCCTGTAGATCAACCGCTTCTGTCTTGGACTCATTCTTTAAACGGGCCACACATTATACGATTTATCGTACTGCAGGTTGTACAACACAAATTTTATTCGACCGTTTGAACGACAGATCGGATGCACTGTTGTCCACAAACTTATACTACTAATTTACTCTCTGTCGTACAATAAATCGTTTTCTAGTTGATTTTGTCTTCTGTTTTTTTTTGTATTATTTGCCGTGGCTTTGTGCTTGCCAAAAATGACAATAGCTGCAAGTGTGGTCGTTTTTTTTAGACGAAGATGAGGAATCCTCCCAAAAATTGTAACTAAATATTCCAATTTGCATCTGCTTTTATTTCTTTTAATTTTTCCAATACATTCTCATAACCTGCACTTCTTTTATATTTGTTTAAGTATTCGTTACTTTTTACATCCAACAAACATGCATGGGAAAGATATATTTCTATAAATTCTGACCAAAACTTTTCATTTTCCATTTTTATGAACTGTATTGTACTTAATTTGCCACTAAAAAATGTTTAGAGTTGGTTTCAACAAGTAGCGCTTGCATACAAACTGTCAAACCTCGTATTTACTACTGCGTTGTACTACAGATTTCTTGCATGTCATACTTCCGTACGATACGACTTTGTCTTACTACAAGTAGTACTACAAAGCCACTAACTATCCAACCCCTGTGTTAATGATAGTATCGATTTGGTGTCGTGCTACATGTAGTACGACGAATCGTATAATGTGTGGCCTGTTTTAGATTAAACCACTCGACCGGTTATCACAGTGTTCTTTTAAATAGATTAATATTTTAGTGAAAAGGTGAGATTAAGAAATAAAATGCCGATTTTTCACAACACCTAAGTATATTTAATATAAAGAAATAAATAAATGAAAATAAAGAAAAAGATTTAACAAGACATTTATAATTAATGAAATATAAAAAAAGGAAAGAAATTTAATCAAAAATAATTAATGAATGATATTAAAAACTCAGAGATGATAAAGTTGAAAATACAAAATATTCTTCTTATTAGTCTAATCTAAATTATCTAAAATTAGCATACAATTCAAATCTCTCTTAGAATCAGGGGCGGATACAGGAATTTATTTTAGGGGGGGGGCCAAATAAAAAAAATATGTAGAATATGCTTTTCAGGGCCCCATTTTTAACCCAAAAGGCTAATATTTAACCCAATTTACAGATTTTAGAGGGGGGCCCGAGCCCCATGGGCCCCCCCTGTATCCGCCACTGCTTAGAATTATCGTTGCCAGAAAATTAATATGTCAAAAAAAATATTAACTGAACAATTGGATTTAAAGTAGAATTTAATAAAAAGAACAATAATTGCAAAATAATCATTTGTGTGATGACATCTAACTTTTATTAAAGCCTTTAGAACAAACAGAAAGTCTTAAATCGTTAATAAAAAAAATATTAAAGAAAATCCAAAACAACAAATTAAAAATCTTTATAAATGAAATGTCTAAAATTTACTAACTTGAGAATTGAATATCATTTAAGAAAATCTTTAGATAGATAACTTAAATAATTAAATTAATTAAATTAAAAAATAATTTAAAAAAAAGACCACTGGATAATATAAGATCTACATGGAATAAATTCGACTGTCTAATTTAAAAGTCAGTACCGAACTGATCCAAAAAACTAATTTCCTAACCCCTGGAAATCTTTAAAATGGGCGGGTAAAAAGAATAGGGAACCACCAAAAGCCGAGCTATTCTGAAATCCTCTCCGGGTTCGCTTTTCAGGAACCGTCTGATCTTCTGTCTGACCTGGTCTGAGAAAACCTCAACTACCCTGTCGTTCCCGGTCTAGTTCACCCTACTTGTCGCAGATGTCTTTACTATGACAATTTCTACATTGTTTCCAAATTATTACTAATATCCCTGTAAATATTATAATAACCGTAAACACAATTACACATGAATAAATCTAACCCTAACT